GAGAGCGTCAAAATTCGCTACATTGATCTCGCATTTAAAGGGGCCATTGCAGCATATCAATTACATTCCTGCATAAATCATGCTTTCTATCGTAATATTGCTGCACACTTCCTATCAAATTCATTTAACAATGGAAGATCAAGTTGCATGTGGTGTGTTTTTGCTCCACTTAATTATCCAATATGTCCATATGGCTAAAATATCCTGAACCAGTAACTTATTTAATTCATGTTCCTGTAAGAAAACCTTGTAAATAATTGAAAATCCGGTGCAATAATCAAACCCTTGGGAACAACTTTGGTCGGAACCAAAGTTCACAGGTCTGTGTTGTCTGAACTCCTCTTAAGCGGCGGACTTCTTCATTCTGATTGCTTGCCGCCGAACCGCGTCATAGCTCATTACCATAGAGTTGACTAATTTCAACTCCCTCGACGCCCACACCAGCGAAGACGCGCCGCGCTGCTCCTCGCCGCTTTACTCCACCGGCTCTCAATGATTTCTGCCTACTTTGACGCTCTCGCCACTTTCGGTGTGAACATAAGGTCAGAAGCGGTGGACTGTGGCATTGTTTGTTGTGAATACACACCCTCTAGTGGTGAAAATTACATACTGTACCTTTAAAGGTGCCATATAGGGTATTGACTCAATATGAAAAAAAATGTTTTCTGATATCTATATACTGGGTGGCTTAGCTAAGTTCAGAATTTCTCCACAAATGGTTTCAAATGCTCACACGACAAGCGACTCGCAAAGCGATAAGCTAGTTCATTTCAATGGAAAGTGGGCGACTTCCGGCAACCTCCATCTACGCAAGCCAGGTGGTCGTTTTGAGCGACGCAAGAAAGTTGAGAATCCTTTAACTTTATGCAAATGAAGAGCAACTTTCTTGAGCCACAGCCAATAGGAGCACCAGTAAAGCTTATGTAATCCTCTGTCAGCTCGCTCAGGGGCTAGTAGTATTCTCCACGTTGCCTACACAGACCCTCTGCTAGTGTGAATGAGGCATTACAAACAGAGATAGAATCAGAAAGTCCATTTTGACCATATTTGGAATGGTCATGAATATTAATGACCTCTGCTCTGACGCTCTGCAGCTCAGTGCCTGCTCTCTCATTCACAAGCTAACACACGTGATATGATATACCTAAAATATTTTAGCAAATTGAGTGCTTGTGTTGTTAAATCGTTTTAAATAATTGTTAGAAAGGTGGGGCAGCACGGTGGCGCAGGGGGTAGCACAATCACCTTACAGCAAAAAGGTTGTTGGGTTGAGCCCCGGCTGGGTCAGTTGGCATTTCTGTGTGGAGTTTGCATGTTCTCCTCATGTTTGCGTGGGTCTTCTCCGGGTGCTCCGGTTTCCCCCACAAGTCCAAAACATGCGGTACAAGTGAATTGAGTACGCTAAATTTTTTGTAGTGTTGTGTGTGAATCAGTGTCTATGATTGTTTCTCAGTGCTGGGTTAAAGCTGGAAGGGCATCCGCTGCGTAAAAGATATGCTGGATAAGTTGGTGGTTCATTCTGAACCATTGCGAGCAAGAAAATGAATGAATAAATAAATGAGAGGTTGAATTTATTTAGCTATCTTTAATCCAACAGCATAACCAATTTTGCTCCTAAGTTGTGGATGAAATATAGGCTAAATTATAATTACACTTGCCCGCATGATTAGGGAGCCCCACGTCATCGCGATTTTCAACAATTGAAAATCCGTCAAACGCAATAATCAAACTCTTGGGAACAACTGTGGTCGGAACCAAAGTTCACAGGTCTGTGTTCTCTGAACTCCTCTCAAGCGGTGGACTACTTCATTTTGATTGCTTGCCGCTCATACCATAAAGTTGACTTGATTTCGACTCTCCTCGACGCTCACACCGGAGAAGACGCGCCGCGCTGTTCCTCTCCGCCGGTTCTCATTGAAAGTGAATGACTTCTGGCTACTTTGACGCTCTCATCGCTTTCGGTTTGTGATCGCTCCTCAGTTTGTGAAGGCTTCCCCGCGTCGTCGCTCCACACCGCCCCTTTCCCCCTCCTCGGTTTGTGATCGCTCCTTAGTATGTGATCGCTCCTCAGTTTGTGAAGGCTTCCCCGCGTTGTCGCTCCCTTCCCCGCTCCTCAATTTGTGATTGCTTCCCCGCGTTGCCGCCCTCCCCTCCCTCTCAACTGGGGGCCCTGTCAATGATCCCTGCAGGGGGGCCTCCGCATTTTGCGCTACGCCACTGCGGGGGGAAGTATGACACATAGGAGTTGATCACAATGACAGGGTTCGAGTCTGGTAAAGAATGGTTCCAGAAAGCAGGTAAGACAAAAACAGAAGCCAAAAAACAAAATAAACATCTAAATAACAGGGTGAGAATGTGGTAAAATCTGAAAACATAGTAAAAATCAGGCGAGGGCTTTTCTTTTTCTGGATTGCTTTTGAAAATTTTTGATTGGGTTTAGGGAAGGGGTGGGTGGGTCAATTGGTGCTTTTGAAAACAATTTTGGTTGGGTTTAGGGAAGGAGGAGGGTGGGTCAGTCGATCGGTCAGTCATTCAGTCAGTTGACAGAGGCCTCAAGAACAGCATGCGTGAATGGCACTCACAAGAGAAATCTGAGATCTGAAAAAGCGCACACTGACCTCTGGTGATTTGCAAAAACAAAAATTACATAAAAACATAGCTTCTGGGATGTATTTGGTGCTTTCCAGAAATGTAAATAGTGTACGTTTTCAGAATGAGCCTGGGTTGGCTGATTAAATGTACAATCCATATAACCTGCAATTTGCATTATGATTACTGTGAAGAGATGACTGGCTGAGAATAGACTAGACTGTATATTGCGATAATGAACTTGCATAATCTTATTATCGTGGGTACGTTATTTATTATTGGTTGTCTGTGGTTGTTTATTTTGAGAAATTGACAATTAAAAGTAATGTAATTAAAATCTAAAGACACAAACCGATAAACTAAAAGTGTATTGAGAATGTTTTCTTTACATTAGACTGAAAAAAATGTTATAAAAAAAAAACAGAATCATAAAATTGATAGGCCCATAAAAAAAACCTGCCTTAAACATCTGTTTATTTCATCCCGAACACCCCAGCTCAGCCTGCCCTTTGAATGTTTTGTAGATGCACTTTGCCCGCGAGGTGCTCCAGTGTGTTTAAGATATTAGCTTTGACTGCAGAACCACATGATCGTGTCCGAGTAGCCCAGGGTGTAATCACAGACCTGAGCTCATCTGCCCCTAATAATCCAGCAGTCCGACCGCATCCACCTCAGCCCTGTTTCCATGGCAACATGCCATCCTAAAGACACAAGAGTGATACGGTATTCACCTCCGAGGGCTGAGGCCACTGTACTGCGGCGACGAGCTCCACTCCCTGTCCTGCTGCATTATCATTTCAAGAGATACACTAACTTACACAACATTAGTGCTGCTGTCTCACTGAACAGCACTCGTGCAGCCTGCCTGTGTTTTTTTTTATTTTGTCTTTTAAAGAGTTCAATGAAACTCGGAAACTCAGCCTGGGTAACTGACACTATGTGACTTGACCTGTGACTGCATTCATGGTCAGTCATTAACCATGAATGAACTACTGATCTGTGAAGCATTATAGAGTGTTTTTTGACTTGGTAATGAAAGATAAACAAACAGTGATTAAAAGTGAAAAAGTTAGGTTCCCATATTGAAAGCACAATTTAAAAAAATGAAGGTTGATTAAATAAAATAAAAAAAGTAATAGTTTGATTGAATACTTTATACAATTAATACAGTTTGGTTTATATTATATGTTAAAAGAATTTTATTATATATTATGTAGTTTAATAAAATATCTATCTATCTATCTATCTATCTATCTATCTATCTATCTATCTATCTATCTATCTATCTATCTATCTATCTATCTATCTATCTATCTATCTATCTATCTATCTATATATCGTTGATGATGTCGTTATAACATTTTCCATCCATCCATCCCTCTATCCATCCATCCATCCATCCATCCATTATTAAGATTATGTTGTTATAACATTTTCCATCCATTTGTCCATCCATCATTTAGATGATGTTGTTATAACATTTTCCATCCATCCATCCATCCATCCATCCATCCATCCATCCATCCATCTATCATTAATTTATCCTTTATTTAGATGATGTCATCATAACATTTTCCATCCATTCATCCATCCATCCATTCATCCATCCATCGTTACGATTTTGTGGTTATAACATTCATTCTTCAATTGTTTTAATTATGTGATTATTCTATCTATCTATCTATCTATCTATCTATCTATCTATCTATCTATCTATCTATCTATCTATCTATCTATCTATCTATCTATCTATCTATCTATCTATCTATCTATCTATCTATCTATCTATCTATCTATCTATCTGTCTGTCTGTCTGTCTGTCTGTCTGTCTGTCTGTCTGTCTGTCTGTCTGTCTGTCTGTCTGTCTGTCATCTTTCCATTCATCCATTCATCCATTATTCATGCATCCATCCATCCAATGTAGATTATATGTTTACAACATTTTCCATCCATCCATATAATATCTATCATCTATCTATAATTATTTCATCAGATCCATGTAAGCTCAGTGGGGTCTCATCAACCTGAATTCACCTGTAACTGTATTGATGACGTGTCAGTGCGCGCAGGGGGGCGTTTCGCGCGAGTGCAGGTGCAACAGCTCCCCAGTCATTCCGCTCAGACTGAAGTGCAGGCAGTGTTCACTATTCACTCGCAGCAGTCTGTGTGTCTAGTGCGTAAGGAAACTCCCGCGCTGACAGAATCCACTGGGATATTCGCGCGAAACAAACGGACACTTGTTCACTCTCATACCACTGAATTCCGAAGAGCCAAAGATGTTTTCCAGCTTGGATGTAGCGTCAGTCTGCCCGCGGTGAACAGTGCCGTTGTTTTGAGGAGAACACTCAGTTTTGGACACTTGAAAGCGATTTGTTTGGTAGATAAACGTTATCTACTTCACGCGCACTGTTAATACGGGCCAGCGCGCGCGCAGGACACTCTTCTTCACATGCTGAACCATGGAGAGACGAACTTCAGCAAAACTTCACAACTACCTGTCAATATTCACGTTTCTCTGCTGTTTCTCATCAGGTAGGCTGGCTTTTACATCATTGCGTAAACTGTTGCTGTGGTAGCGTAAATACTTCATGTTTTCTCATTTCGGGCGATTAGATTGGTTAGCTAGTTGTGTTCAGTTTTGTCAAGGCTGTTTAGAGATTATAAAGGTCACAGTTTGGTTTAATTAGTTAATGTTTGATAATGTATTTACTAGCTACGAATATAGTTTAGCGTTACTAATGGGAAGTTAGCATAAACAAAAGTTCATTTTCATTAAATAACGTTAACAAAGATGAATAAATACTCAAATAAAGGCATTGTTTATTGTCTGTTTATGTTTTTAAATTCATTAATTTATAAGCATATACCTTATTGAAAAGTTTTACCATTATTAAACGTATAATGGCAACAGTATTGATCTGTGAATACTAAGAAAAAACAATATCAATGCATATGCATAAAAATATATGATATTCCAGTCACACTTTACAATAAAAACTTTCATTAATGTATACATGAACTAAGAATGAACAATATCAATGTAAAAAAAAAGTATAATATTCCAGTCACTCTTTACAATAAGCTTCTGTTAATGTATAAATTAACTATGAATGAACAATATCAATGTACAGTTAAAGTCAGAATTATTCGCCCCCCCCCCCCCCCCCCCTGAAATATTCGCCTCCCTGTTTATTTTTTTCCCCAATTTCTGTTTAAAGGAGAGAAGATTTTTTTCAACACATTTAAGCACCTAATAGTTTTAATAACTCATCTCTAATAACTGATTTATTTAACCAGGCAGGTTATAGTAATTAGGCAAGTTATTGTATAATGATGTTTTTTTTCTGTAGACTATTGAGAAAAAAAATAGCTAAAAGGGGCTAATAATTTTGTCCCTAAAATGACGTTTAAAAAATTAAAAACTGCTTTTATTCTAGCCGAATTACAGCAAATAAGACTTTCTTCTTTCTTTTTTAAAATCTACTAATGCATCATTAAAATCCAAAGTTTTGCTTGGTTAACATTAATGTATTGTGAGTTACATTAACTTAGAATGAACCAACATATATATATATATATATATATATATATATATATATATATATATATATATATATATATATATATATATATATATATATATATATATATATATATATATATATTATGTATTAATTTATGTACTATTATAAATATGTAAAGTGCAATTTATATGTATTCCACTTATAATTATAGATGAGTCACATACCCTTATAAAGCACTGTTATCAAAACACCTCAGTACACCAGATACATTTCAGCCTGGGTGTGGCCTTATGCTTATAAGGAGTCCTTTGACAAAGTCCTTTTCTGGGCAGTAATGTCATTTTCCTTGAATTATTCTGAGTGTGAAGCATACAGTAAACAATTCATATTGTTTGAAACCAAGTGACGTAGTAAGATTCTAGCAGTTGTACAGTAAGTAACAGGATCTGACTTATGAGGCAACTGAGATTACGGATCTTTGTTTTCTCATGCATACATGCACACATACACACTCATTTCGCAGGTGCATCCTCTTCTCGGCAGTGCAAAATAATGTGAAATGGATGAACAGCAGGGTGTTTTCTTGACTATAGATTAGATATGAAAGAAATGACAACTTAATTGCTGTTTAAGGATACGAAGCAACTGAGAAATTGGAAATTGCAAATTGTGATTGGTCTGCAGGAAAAGGTTTAACAGAATGTGAAATTTGGAGCTGCAGGTTTCATGTTTGTAGTGCAAACTGAGGATTTACTAAGCCTGTTGGAATGAAATAGCGGAGGAAAATACCATCGCAGGTTTCTGCGTTAAGCCCAGGTGGTCGGGATAAAATTAGTTCAGAAGAACATCATAAGTTACTGTAATCCTGCATGGCTCTGCAAGCGTACACAAGTCAAAGCGTGGCTTTTGATAAAACCCTCTGTTGGTCTTTTGGCGACATGGTTTGAAGAAAGTAATTTCAGGCTGAAGTGTTTATGTGTCCTATCTTTATTTTTAGATGTAGAGGAGCAACTAATTATACTGCTGCTGTGAAATGTAAATGAAAATGTATTCGAGTACCTCAAATATCTGATTATCTCTGTTTAAGTCTGTTACACATGGAACAAATGTTCAGGATAAACTATTACAACACTGTAAAACAAACCATAGGGCTGGATGATATGACCCAAAAATGAGCACAAGAACATGTTTCATATCAGTTGATATAGATAATTATCACAATAAATTTCAATCTTTATTTATTGAGAGCAGAGATGTCCAAACTAGGGCCCGCGGGTCAAAGCTGGCCCATGATAACCTTTGATTTGGCCATGCCATCTGAGAATTGAGGGAGAATGTTTTAATTTAAACAGTGTAAATCAGTCATGGTTAAATGTACATGTACATGTTTAAATAAACACTGTCACCCGACAATGCAGAGAATTTGATGAGCTAATCAGGTCAAAGGCAGACTCTGCTTGACTAGTGTATTCAATATTGAACTCCACTGTGTTATAAATAGGATTGTTTATGTTTTTGTTGCAAAAAGTGATCATTTAAAAAGTTGGACTGTATTAGATAATACAGTTTAAAGTAATGTTTTTTTTATTTATTTTGAAATATTAGGAAATAAATAAGGAAACTAATTATAATAATACATTTTATTTAAAGGCGCCTTTCTAGCAACTGAAGGACACCGTACAATCAACAAGAATAATAAAACAACAAGAGAAATAATAAAATATACACAGCAATAGTGCAAATAAAATTAAGTATTAAAAGCCATCTTAGGGTGCTTTCACACCTACACTTTTGTTTCGGAACGTATCTCGTTTGCCCAGTTAGCGCGGTTCGTTTGGCATATGTGAACAGGGCAATCATGCTCTGTTCCGCGCCAAAGTAATCGCTCCGAGATCGCTTGAATGAGGTGGTCTCGGCTCGATTGAAACGAACCCTGGAGCGGTTCGATTGCAGTGAGAAAGCGATCCGATCCGAGCGCGGTTATATCACAGTGTTTTATGGATATGTAATAGGCTTACGGCTATATGAAGAGAGAATTATGAGTAGGGCGGGAAGTTTCGCGAGTCTCAGGATGCCCGCAAACGAGTGATGATCTCCCGGTAATCTCCCGTCTCCCTCCCGGTCCTCAAATAGGCATCGTCGCGCACCCTTCTCACCCCTCCCCAACGCGTCTCTCCTCAGACACGTCGGGCGCGCGCACCCTGTCAATCACCTCCAAACCAACACCTCTCCAGACAGCTTAGCGGGACGCTGCAAAATAAACCCTGACACTGACCAATGTAAGGAGAGTTTACTCGCACGTGACTTGTTTTAGCTCTTTTGGTCCGATTAGAAACTTTGCAGTGTGAAAGCGAACCGCTCCAAGAGCAAAGAGCAACAATGTAACAATTGTAATCTCTGTTTCGGAACAACTGAATCGATTCACAGGTGTGAAAGCACCCTTAAATAAGTGGGTTTTGAGTTTTGATTTGAACAGTGTAAGGGAGTCAATGTAACTACCCATGGCAACTTTAATGTAATGTAGTTTGGTATATTTACCTTCGGCCCACGGCTCTCAATGAGATTTGGTATTTGACCCTTCATACAAAAAAGTTTGGGCACCCCTGCTTTAGAGTTTAAATGCAAATTTTGACATTAAACTGATATTTATTGTGAAAACACAACAAGCATGTCAACAGGAAAAAAATGTTACAAATGTAAGGTACAATATAAATATTGTATGGAGTAAACATTTTAGCAGACTTTTTTCCTTTAAAAAATCTTAATAGAAAAAATAATTTCATGTTTTAATCAAATCACAAAACAGGCTTTGGCTAGTTGCAGATGGAAAATTATGTTCAGTAAAAAATATTTTAATTGATTTAAAGTGTTGCAATATTTTCACCTATAATATCATACAGTAGGTAATACCTCGGAATTATCTTGTTCATAATTATAAGAAAAAACACTAACCTGAATACTGAATAAGTCATTCATTCATTCATTCATTTATTTTCTTTTTTCGGCTTAGTCCTTTTATTAATCAGGGGTCTCTGCAGCAGAATGAACCGCCAATTTATCCAGCATATCTTTTAAGCAGCGGATGCTTTTCCTTGTGCAACCCATCACTGGGAAACATCCATACACTCTTATTCACACTCATACACTACGGTCAATTAAGCTTACCCAATTCAACTATACCGCATGTCTTTGGACATGTGGGGGAAACCAGAGCACCCGGAGGAAATCCACGCAAACATTGAGAGAACATGCAAACTCTAAACAGAAATGCCAACTGACCCAGCCAAGGCTCGAGCCAGTGACCTTATTGCTGTGAGGCATTCGTGCTACCCACTGCGCCACTGAATATAAATACAAATGCATGAATGCTAGCTTCATGCTAAAAGTACTACAGTAACTATGTTCCATTACTCCTTTTATATTAGTAATATGACTCAAATCATATTTAATTGCTACCACAACAATACCATTCACTACAGTAAATCTATGAATAGTTTTCTAACTGGAAACATTCATGCATACTGTTTGTCAGTGCTATTGAGAATGTCAGCTCTGTTTTTTTCACACTGAACTGAGCTAAACTGAACTGAACTGAACTTAAACACTAAAACCTGAACCACACTGTTCCAGTTACTGAACCACACGGTTCCAGTTACTATGACCATTTATGTGAAGCTGCTTTGACACAATCTACATTGTAAAAGCGCTATACAAATAAAGCTGAATTGAATTGAATTGAATTGTTTTATATGGCTTTGAACTAAATCATAAGATTTGTGTTTCGTTCTCTTAATTCAAGCAATTTAACACTTCTCATGCACATTAAACCAAATCTAAACCCATGCAAGTTTTATGGGGTGCAAAATATCAGCACTGTTTTATTTCAATATAAAGCATAAACATATATCAGACGTGCATTATTTTATCAATGGAAATTGGTCTCAGAAATGAGGATTTCACATTATATTGAACCTATCAAAACATATATCACATGGTTTGCTATATGCA